CGATGGCCCACCAGCAGCAGCAGCAGTGGGTCAGAGTTACAACTTCTCCACATCCTTATATACAGCCTGTCTTTTATCACTTGTTGTTAAGTGCCGTTAAGTCAGTTCTGACTCACAGTGTCCCTGTATAGAATTTCCAAGGAATGAATGGTGAGCTTGAACCCACTGACCTTGCGGTTCAAACCAACTTTGCAGTCCAGTGCATTAACCCACAGCACCACACATAATGAATGAATAAAAGCACTAAGAAACAAGAGGTTCAGAATGGATACAAACAACCATATGGCTAACCACCTTTCAATAATAGAACTCATGCATCCATTCATTTATTCTGCAGACTCTTATCCAAACTCTTATCCTGACTTCTGTGTCAGGAGCTTTGCTTGGTGCTAACAGTACAATTGTGAGCAAGACAGACATGGTCTTTGCTTTTACAGAGATTATGCGCTCATTTTCCTCACATTAGTTCAGATAGAGAGTGTTGTGCCACGTAGAAACTATAGAGAGTACTAAACTCACCTTCCATTTACAAAACAGATTACAGTTGTTACTGAGGTTTATGTATATAAAATGAGGGGGGAAAACCACTAATATCTTAATTTAATTAGAAAAATGCTTGATATAGAGATTAAAAATGAATAGATATCAAGTTGGGTGACTTTTAATGTGTATATTTCCTTTACAGTTGTATTGTGACTTGTGGAAGTGATGGTGATGTCAGGATTTGGGAAGACTTAGATGATGATGATCCTAAGTCTATTAATGTTGGAGAAAAGGCATATTCCTGTGCTTTGAAGGTATAAAAATAAAGTTATGTCTGATGATGTAAATGATACTGGCATGTAATATTCTTAAAGAAATAGTCTTAAACATGTTTTGGATATAGAGGTACCTCTTTGAATGCTTCTCTTGTAAAATAATAACATGTGAAAATGTACACTAATGCCCGAAGCTCCCCCAAAACATTCAAGTTATGCCTGAGTAGTTTATTAATGATGGTGAAAAAATATACATATGAAAAATAAGCTTTTGCTTTTTCTTGTTGTTAGATGCCCTCCAATCAACTCTGACTCAGAGCACCCCAGTGCACAACAGAATGAATTACTGCTCAGCCATGCTCACAATTGTTACGTTTGATCCATTGTTGCAGCCATTGTGCCAGTCCATCATGTTGGAGGTCTTCCTCTTTTTTACTGACCCTCTATGTTACCAAGATATCAGGACTTGTTCTTCCTGAAAACATGTCCAAGTCTGTGATACAAAGTCTTGTCTCCTCACTTTCAAGGAGCATTCTGGTTGTACTTCTTCCAAAACACATTTGTTTGTTCTTCTGACTGTTCATTATACTTAGTGGTTTTGATTGCAGCTTCCGTAAGTGTTGATTGTAGAGCCAAGTAAAATGACATGCTTGACAACTGCAGTTTTTTCTCCATTGGTCATAATGTTTATTGGTACTATTGTAAGGATTTTTTTCTTTACATTGAGTTGTAGTCCATGTTAAGTGCTGTCAACTCAGTCGCAACCCTGTATAGGGTTTCCAAGGAGCAGCTGGTAGGTTGGCCCGCCTACCTTGCAGTTCAGAATGACCTTACAGTCCAGCACATTATCCTGCAATGCCACACCAGGACTTGTATATTCTTTGATCTTCATCAGTAAGTGTGTCAAGTCCTCTTCGTTTTCAGCAAACAAGGTTGTGTCATCTGCATGTCACAGGTTGTTAATAGCCTCCTTCCAGTCATGATGCTGCATTCTTCATATTGCTCAGCATCCAGATTGAATAAGCATGGTGCAAGGATACAACTCTTATACTTACTTTTTCTGATTTTAATCTCTGCAATATACCATTGTTCTCTTCTAATGACTACCTTTTGGTATATGTACAGGTTCCACATGAGCACAGTTAAGTTTTCTGGAATTCTTAATTTTTTCAGTATTATCCATTATTTGTTAATAATTCACACAGTTGAATTATCTTAAGCAAATTGTTACTTGCATGTGGTACTAATGATTTTGCTTGCTAATGTCCACATTCTTTTGGGTCACCATCCTTTGAAATGGGTACAAATTCAGATCTTTTCCAGTCTGTTGGCCAGGTAGCTGTCTTCCAGATTTCTTGGCATAGACTAATGAGTGCTGTCAGTGCTACATCAGTTTGTTGAGACTTTTCAGTTGGTGTATCGTCAGTTCCAGGTACCTTGTTTTTTCTAATCCCTTCAGTACAGTTTGGATTTTTTCCTTCAGTGCCATTCATTCTTGATCATAGATTATCTATCTTTTGAAGTGGGTGAATATCAGCCAGTTCTTTTTGATATGTGACTCTGTAATTCTTCCATCTTTTCCTGCTTTCTGCGTTCTTCAATCTTTTGCCCATAAAATCCTTCAGTATTGCAAGTTGAGGCTTGTATTTTTTCTTCAGTTCTTTCAACTCGAGAGATGCTGAGTGTGCCCTTCCCTTTTTGTTTTCTAATACCAGGTTTTTACACATTTGATCATATAATATTTTACTTTGACTTCTTGAGCTGCCCTTTGAAATTTTTTTCTTCAGCTGCCTTCCTTCATTCCTTCCAGTTTTAGCTTCTCTACATTCAAGAGCAAATTTCAGAATGAAGCACCCTTTTGACATTGATTGTTGTCTTTTCTTTCCTGTCTTTTTAATGCCCTTTTTTGTTGTTGCCCACAACTCTTGTAGTCTTCAGTTAGCAGTTGGAATCCAAAGTTACAGGAGAAGAAAGGCATGAGCTACTTCTGTAAGAGTACAGCCAATGGAAAAATCTCTGTGGCTGGAGCTCAGTTCTGCTTTGAAGCACATCATGGTATTGCATTGAGTCAGAATCCACTTATAGACATACAGTGGATTTTCTTTGGTTTTATATGAGCTTGATAGAGTATGATTTAGTCCCTCTGGACTTACTTTCTTTTAAAGAAGTAAGGCATTTGATTATGTGGATCATAACAAATTACGGGTAACATTTTGAAGAATGGGAGGTTAAAATCAGGAATGGGATGCATCATGGTTGTATACTTTTACCATGTATATGCTGAGCATATAATTTGAGAATCTGAACTATATGAAGAACAAGGCATCAGAGCTGGAGGAAGACTTATTACCTACCTAGAGTATTCAGATAGGATCGTGTTTGCTGAAAGTAAAGAAAACTTAATACACTTATTGGTGAAGATCAAGATCCTTCAATGTAGATAACACCTTAACATAAATAAAACAAAAATCTGCACAACATCATGATGAAAGACATTGTCAAGAATTTTGTTTTATGTGAATTTACAATCATCGTCCATGGTAGCAGTAGTCAAGAAATCAGATGACATATTGCATTGGACAAATCTGCATAGCACCTCTAACTGTTAAAAAGTTGAGATGTCACTTTGAAGACTAAAGTGCACTTGACCCATGCTTTGATATCCTCGGAAACCCTGTACAGGGTCGCTATGGGTCGGAACCGACTCGACGGCACTTAACAACAACAACAACAACAACAATGTGCATGTGAAAACTGGACAATGAATAAGGTAGAGTGAAGCAGAATTGACACCTTTGAATTATGGTTGTTGGTGTTGGTGGTGTTGAGTCAATTCCGACACATAGTGACCCTGCATAGGGTTTCCGAGGCTGTAAATCTTTATGGGGGCAGAAAGTCTCATCTTTCTCCCATGGAACCGCTGGTAGTTTTGAACTGCTGATCTTGAGATTAGCAGCCCAATTCGCAAGCATTACACTGTTAGTGAAGAATATTGAATATACCATAGACTGCCAGAAGAAGTGTGTTAGAAGAAATACAACCAAAATGCTCCTGAGAAGTGAGACTGGTGAGTCAGTAATCAGGAGGGACCAGTCCTTGGAGCAGGACATCATGCTTGATAAAGGGTCTTTGAAAAAGAGAAAATCCTCAATGAAATGAACTGAAGTAACACAGTGGCTGCAACAGCGAACTCAAGCATTGGAAGATTGTGAGAGTGATGAAAGACCAGGAAGTGTTTTTCTGTTATACATAGGGTCATTATGAGCCAGAACTGATTCATGGCACCTAACAACCACAAAGAAGGCATAAAGTTAAGGTACGAGAAAAAATAATTTGACCTTTCGTAAAAATTTTTAGGTAAGTTAAAGTCTTGAATTCAGCATTTTAGATTTTGCTGTAGTTGCAAAAAGGCACTTAATGGTTTCATTGTGAAAAATAGTAACACTATCTAGAAGCCAATGTGTCCATGTTTTTTCATGAGCTCTTTCCTGAGACCAGGTATGATTTCTCTGGAAAACTCTTGTGTAGTGACCTTCATTTTTATGACATTTGCAGATCCATAAAAATACTATATATCGCCTTACCAGTTTTAAATGAAAATTCAGAGGCTAAAAAAGATTGACTGAAGATGTAATTGAGTTTTCCAAAGGTAGCCAATTTTGTTTACTAAGTACATTTTAGGAAATTATTCAATGCGTGCTATTTTTCTCTTCACATGATCTACAGTTATAAAGTTTATATATATATATAAAGATTTTTGACTGCAGGAAGACTCCCAGTTGACTTGAATTTGTTTTGCCAAAGTTTTTTTTTTTTTAAGATTTATTTTTCTTTTAGAATGGAAAATTGGTCACTGCCGTATCTAACAATACTATTCAAGTCCACACATTTCCTGAAGGAGTTCCAGATGGCATATTAACTCGCTTTACCACAAATGCAAACCATGTGGTTTTTAATGGAAATGGTGCTAAAATTGCTGCTGGATCCAGGTAAGACTCATTGACAACAGAAAAGGAAATATTGTTGGCACAGAATGGCCCCATTCATTAGTTTCAGGCTAACATTTTCTGGACTCCCCCAAGTCTTGTATCTAGTAAAGATCCCTGAGGATATACATCACTTTACAAATTAAAATAGATTACTTTACAAACAGCTTATTCAGTAAATGATGGAAAAAATTGGGGGAATGGTGACTGATGAATTTTTAAAATCATTTTAGGTAGAAAGTAGACTGTCTGATCAGGATGTTTGCTGTTTCCCTTCAAGCTTTTTTTTCATCCCTAAGATGTAAATGTAATGGGCTGAGTTGCTGAAGTGAAGCAAAAGTAAACTGCATAGTGTACTATACAGTTATAAATGATGTGGATGTAATTAGACTGGCAACTAATAGAAGCTTAAAATATAACTAAAGCTTTGGAGAGAAATGTTTGTATTTTGACATAGGGGAAATCAGGATTTGTGTTTTTAGCGTTTGTGCAGTGGTACTAAAACTCAAATCATTTCATTCAGATGTCAGAATTTCACAAATTGCTATATAGAAATTATGGCATTTAATTTTGTGATTTTAAAATATTTGGGTCACAGCTTTAGGAGAAGCTTTTATTCATGTGCATTATTTTTATTATTCATAGTGATTTTATAGTCAAAGTCGTGGAGGTAGTGGACAGTAGCCAACAGAAAACACTTCGAGGACATGATGCACCTGTTTTAAGTCTGGCCTTTGATCCTAAGGACATATTTCTGGTAATTATATTTGCCTCTTTTTTCTTTCCTTCCTGAATATTTTTTAAATGGTAAGAGAATTAGCAGGAAATTTTCCACAGTTGATAAAAGTTTATTTGATTTTGAAACTAAACCAAGTCTCCATATAAAAGTATAGTGGTAACTATAGAGAAATCGACTTTTTTATTTCTGCAGGCATCTGCTAGCTGTGATGGCACTGTCAGAGTGTGGCAAATTTCAGACCAGGTAAATGCATAAATTTGAATTTAAAAGTTTTTGCCATTTCCTGCATATATTGAATATTATACATTATGTTATTTATTGTCTTACATGGTTTGTCTCTTTGAGTAGCATTAAATATTATTTTTGTGATCAAATTCCAAAATAATAGAAAAGGAAATACGCTTTTTTTTCTTAGTTACATAGAAATTATTGTTTTATAGTTCATTTTTAGGTTTTGTAGATCGTTGGGGAAAATTCAGTCACTATGTACTTAAGAAACATCTGTCATATGCGGGGCCTTTTGTTAGATGTTGGAGATACAAAAATGAAATAAGACATTGGCCACATTTAGTTTTGAGAATCACATATACCAGTTATTCTAACACAGCATATTAAAGGTTTTAAAAGAGACACGAAGAAAGTGTTCTCTGGAATGCATGGCAGAGGAAACAGGTCATTCTTTCGAAGATGATCAGAAAGGTTAGCATTTTTCAAAGTTTATTCAGTGAATATATTGCTTGCTTATTTTATATATGAAATATTCATATTTAATTACTTCTGAAGGATTTAAAGCAATTTAGGCAAATCAAATATCATTGTAATGGATAAAAGTGAATTAAATTGTTTCATTTTTTTTTCCCCCTGAGGAAACCACCTGAATTTGAGAAAACCATCTTTTAAATGTACCCAGTTCTTTATGTCTTTCATGGGGGGAATTTTCTCAAAGGGAACTTAAAACCCTTTCTTTTAATCAGACATGTGCTATTAGCTGGCCAGTGTTACAAAAATGCAATGATGTGGTAAATGCAAAATCCATCTGCAGACTTGCTTGGCAACCCAAAAGTGGTAAGGTAAGTGCCTCGTAACTTTTCAGCCTTTGCCTTTGTTCTGTTCCTGTCAGCTTTGATTGTAAGAATAGGTTTAAAATGGTTTGCTGTTTCATTTGGGTTATAAATTTTAAAACTCCAAGCCAAGTAATTTGTCAAGAAATGCTTTAAGAAACATGTAAGCTTTTTAATGAGTTTTTTAAAATGTACATTTTCCATGATTTAATTAAGTTTATATATGTATTATTTTAAGTTCACGTTTAATGGAACAACTCTAGAAATGGTCTCAGTATATTACTCTTACCACTAGAATTTAACATTCTGGAGATACTGACACTGTTAAACTATGAAGAAATATGAGAGAGTTGAAAGGAGGAAAGATAATACTTATGAAGGGGTTTCACAAAGTTCATTGAAAAATAGAATTAAAAGATAATGGAATTTTTCCATAAACTTTTTGAAGCCTACTCTATCTGCAAGTTAAATACTTATATAGGTGGACGCCCCCAGAGTATCAAGTGGCAGCAGATCACATTTATCTTCCACTCCATAGGAGACATATGAGGCTTTTTGTTTCTGTTTAGATTTATAGCCTTGAAAACCCTATATAGGGTCACTCTGATTTGGAACCAGCTCCATGGCACATAAACACCACCCACCACCACCACTAATAAGAAAATTCATTAAGGTGACTAGAAGTAAAATTAATTTACAAGGTGAAGAGTAATCCCGTGTACAAACTATTGCCATTCAGAAAATATAGTGGAGATAAAAATCTATTTACTGTAAAATAAAAAATTATATAAAATACCTGAGATAAACTTATCAAGAAATAGGAAACATCTATATAGAGAAATGTTTAATTAAGCTACCAAGGGACATAAAAGATGTGAATACATAGAAAATGAATTTTTGATGTAATAGAGATGTCAGTTCTTATGTAAATTATAGTTTTAACAACATTCAATTATAAAATAGCAATTAGCTGATTCTAGAGTCTGCATGGAACTGTTGAGTCTTTTAAAAGACAAATGGCACCAGGGGTTTAATGTAATCAAATATTAAAATACTATGACAGTTTCACAATGAAAATTTGCTGCTCTCTCTACATAGGCATATGCTGTCGTTAGGGTGCGATAAAGTAAGTTCTCATAACAACAGAAGTAAATATTGCCTGGTCCTGCCCCGTCCTTACAGTTGGTACTGTGTTTGAATCTATTGCTACAGCCACTGTGTCTGTCCATCTCATTGAGAGTTTTCCTTTTTTTAATGACCTTCTACTTTGCCAATCATGATGTCCTTCTCCAGAGACTTGGCTCTCCTAATGAAATGTCTAAAGGACATGAGGTGAAGTTTTGCCATACTCATTTTTAAGGTGCATTCTATCTGTACTTTCAAGACATTTGTTCATTCTTCTGGAAGTTCATGATATATTTAATATTCTTCTCCAAACCATAATGCAGAGGCAGTAATTCTTTAGTCTTCCAAAGTAAAGTATTGTACTGAAATGTACAAAGACCGGGAGTTAGAAAACCGAATGGGAAGAAAACGTTATTTCTCAGGCAGAAAGAACTGAAGGAAAAAAAATAATAAAAATCAAGCCACAACTTTCAGTTTAAAAGATTATGTGGACAAAATATTGAGCAACACAGGAAGCATTAAAAGAATATGGAAAGAACGTAGAGAGTCACTGAACCAAAATGAATTAAAGGGTATCCAGCCATTTCAACAGGCTATTATGTGCCATGGAGTCGGTTTTGACTCATATTGGCACTGTAAAGGGTATCCAAGGCTTTAAATCTTTTGTGGGACCAGAAAGCCTCATCTTTCTCCCATGGAGCTGCTGGTGGGCTCGAATCGCCAATCTTGTGGCTCACAGTCCAGTGTTTATCCTATGCAGCCACCACACTCTATTTTCAGGAGGTATGATAAACAACTGAGGAAAGAAGTCCAAACTGAACTGAAGGCATTGATGAAAAACAAGGTTCCAGGAATTGACAGAAGACCAGTTGAAATGTTTCAGCAAACTGATGCAGTGCTGAAAGAATGCATACGTCTGTGCCAACTACCTAACCAACTGACTATAAGAGATCCCGTATGTATGTATGTACTTACATACATGTCTGTATGGATATTGCATGGTTTAAAATCAGGAAAAAAAATGTGCGTCAGGGTTGCATCCTTTTGCGGTTAAGCTGAACAAGAATCCAAGAAACTGCGCTACATAGGAAAGACATGGTATTAGCATAGAAGGAAGACTCCTTAACAAATAGTGATATGCAGATGACACAACCTTGCTTGTTGAAAACGAAAAAGCATTGGCACACATATTAATGAAGATCAGACTAGAGCCTTCAGTATAGAGTTTACCTCAACATAAAGAAAACAAAAATTCTTTACAACTGGACTAATAAGCAACATGATTGTAAAGGGAGATAAGATTGAAGTTGTTAAGGATTTCAGCTCCCATGGAAACAGCAGTTAAGAAATCAAATGGCCTATTTCATTGGACCTCTTTGTAAAAGACCTCTTTTAAAAGATGTCACTTTGAGTAGTTAGGGGCACCTGACCCACGCCATGTTATTTTTAATCACTTCATATGCATGTGAAAAATGGACAGTGAATAAGGAAGAACTTAATGCACCAAAATTAATGCAAAAAATAATGCATGAAATAAATGCAAACAGATCTGTTTTGGAAAAAGTGCATCCAGAATGCTCCTTCCAAGCCAGGATGGTGAAACTTCATGTCATTGACTATGAACTTACTGTCAGGAGGGACCAGCCCCTGGAGAATGACATCGTGCTTGGCAAATTAGGGGTTCAACAAAACAGAGAAAAGACCCTCAATGAAATTGAGGCTGCAACAGTGGTCTCAAAGATAACAACGACTGTCAGGATGACCCAGGACTATAGATAGTATTTCCTTATGTTGTATATGGGCTCACTGTGAGTTGGAACTGATTACACAGTTCCTAGTGTGGTACTGTGGAATAAGCGCTCGACCACAGGTCAGTGGTTCAGATTCGCCAGTCACTCCTCAGAAATCCTATACAGGGTCACAATGAGTCAGAAGCAACTGAACAGCACTTAACAAACACAAACATAGTGTTATGATAGGAATATAACTAGCAAAATGTATATTCCTTGCTTATATTTGCCTTTCAGGAGTAGAAATACAATTTAGGGATGAATCAAGACTTTCTTTTACATATATATCCTTTTGTGTCATGTGAACTTTTAGTAGTATATACTCTGCATTAAAATGGATGTAGAACTCAAATCCAGTAGGTATTGTTTCTTTGCTTGCCTAACAGTTTTCTTTAATTAATTTAGAAGTTAATAAAATTAGCATTGTTTTACTGTTCATTAATCCATATTTTGTTTCTTTTGAGGTTTTCTGTTTTACTAAATGTGGAAAGAATACAATTTTATTTTTGTCTACTAATCTTTTTAGAAGAGTGTGTATAAATCGATGAATTTGCTTTTTTAAAAGCTGTTCATAGGATGTGGATCTGTTTCCTACTAGTAAATAAAATGAATTGTTTTAGATTCAAATGATACAGATTCCTTAAGATGCAGTAGTATAAAATGCTAACCAACCCAACCCAACCCACTGCTGTTAAATTAATTCTGACTTAGAGCAGCCTATCAGACAGAATAGAACTGTCCCATAGAATTCCCAAAGCTATATATTTTTATTGAACCAGAGTGTCTCATCTTTCTCCCTTGAAGTACCTGTGGGTTTGAACTGCCAGCCATTTGGTTAGCAGCAAAATACTTAATTACTGTACCACCAGGGTTACTTTGTAAAATACTGCTGCTGCATGACATCCAGTCAGTTATTATTCATAACCCTATTGGTGGATTCGAACTGCTGATCTGCAGGTAGTGGCCCAACATGTAACCCACTACGCTACCAGGGGTTCTTTATAAAATACTAACCTCTACAAAAACTCCGGGGTTTTTTTTGACGTGGGCAATCTACATCACTCATTCTTAGCTTACCAAAATTTTATATAATAGTTTTTGTTGTTGTTAGTTGCCAATTAAAAAACAGATTTGTTTTTATATTTTTAAGCTTATCTGGGTTAATTTTTTGCTTTTTTTTTTTTTTTCCTCTTGAGATTGAATTTAAGGTAAACTCTAAATTATTTATCTTTCTTAATAGTTATTGGCAGTTCCTGTAGAAAAATCTGTTAAGCTCTATAGAAGAGAAACTTGGAATAATCCATTTGATCTTTCAGATAATTTCATTTCTCAGGTAAGTTTTATAAATGATACTTTTAATAGCCTAAAGAGAATTTTTAATGACTACATTGTCTTCACATAGTTGTAGTTAAATATTGGAAGTGGAGAATACTGCCAGTCAGTTGTGAATGTGTTCACCTTCCATTCCTCAAGCTTTCTACCTTTGTCCAACACCTGAACGGTACATAGGTTCTATCTGTTTTTTCATTTATATGAAGTCCAGTTGAATACTAGGTTTGTATTAGAACAGGTTATTGTCATATTTTTAACAGGTAGCCTTAATTGTTATGTAGATTTAATTGAGACTTGATCGTAGAGCCAGAAATTTTAAGGGAGCTGAAAAGATTGTTGATCCGTTTTCTTTCATTCTCTCTCTCTCTCACACACAAACATTTTGCACATAAGTAAATTTACCAGCAAAGGCTTGCTAAGGATCTCTTGTCATATCAGTTCTCTGCCTCTTGATGGTATCCTCTTGAGGATACCTTGGATTGCCCCCTTTCAATTCCCTTTTCGGGATAATGACATTTTTGTATTTTGTTTATAAAATTGTGCCAGTCTAAATTTTTTTTTTTTAGGCGAGACAGTAATAATTACTAGTGACAGTTGAAATTATTAAGCAAGACAGGCAAAAAACCAAACATCGTTCTGCCATTTGTGTATTAGATTTAATTAGGAGCTGTACAGAATAAAAGAATTTGGGGGAAAATGAGTATTTACTTTGAAATTATACAAAATTGTTATTTATTACTGTTTTTCTTTCTAGACCCTCAATATAGTAACTTGGTCTCCCTGTGGGCAGTATTTGGCTGCTGGCACTATTAATGGTTTAATTATAGTTTGGAATGTGGAAACCAAAGATTGTCTGGAAAGGTATGATTCACTCTGTGCTTTGTCTCTTTACTGCTTTTTTCTATTAATTTTTTGTTTATATCACTATGAAGCCTTTTCAGAATTACAACATATGCAGTTATGCAGCTTTTAAATTGTCAAAAGCCATTTAGCCTTTTCTAGTAAAGACTTACCTAAGCATCTGTGTAGTTTATGTTTTCCTTGACAATGTTTTGAGAACCTATTTTTTGATTTTTAGGGTAAAACATGAGAAAGGTTATGCAATTTGTGGCCTGGCCTGGCATCCTACTTGTGGCCAAATAGCGTATACTGATGCGGAAGGAAATCTCGGGCTCCTGGAGAACGTATGTGAGCTCAACGGAAAGAAGTCAAGCAGTAAGGTAAAACGTAATATGAGAGACCAGCTGTTTCAGAGTGTCCCTGGGTCAGTGAATTTGGAAAAACCAATTTTTGAAAATTGCAACTCATACCATTATATGCTCAGGAATGACCTGTAATAACCTGTTTTAGTTTTCATGTCTTGCCACTGCGTTTAAGTAATGAACATTTTCTATTCCATGTACGATCTATTCATATATCTTGGATTTCTGAGGAATTAATTATACTTTGTGAAATACTATTTTAGTATTCTGGTACTCTGGGGATTGTTAGGTTAGTTTTTTATAACTAAATGTTGAAGTTAATGACTGTAATATGCCTTAGTGTCACAAACATTTTGTGCTCTGGATTATTCTTCAGTCTTAAGGTACCTGTACACTGTCTATGCTTAGTTATCGACCCTTACTGAACTTCTTGATGCAGGCCAGGTTATTTTATACTTCCTTGCTTTGTTCACTATTCCATATTCCTGCCACGTATTCATATTTCAAGGTTTCATTTAGACTTCCAGTTAAAGATTGTAAATTCAGTACATATATCTACCTTAGTTCCTCCTTAGTTTTCACTGAAACTGTTAGAGGAATTTTTAATATGCATCATCCCATAAGGATAAAAAAGACAAGTTGAATCAATGACAATAACAAAACTTTGGAGACTGAAAAATAAAGGAATGATTGAAAACTGACTTTAGCATCTTAGAAAAGTTGAATCCTAAGATCACAGTGGGTAAAACTGAGGTGAGTTGGCCTGGTTGTATCCCCACCTATTCAGAATTCGATAATACCAAGTACTGTTAAAGTGGAACTGGATGTAGCAAGACTGGTTTAATAAGCATGTGTGTGTGTTAAGTGCCGTCAAGTTGCTTCCGACTCTTAGTGACCCTGTATAATCCAAGGAGCATTTAGTGAGTTTAAACCTTCAACCTTGTGCTTAATAGTCCAGTGCTGATTCTTCAATCCCAACTACAGTGTGTACAGCCTTTCCCTTCCCACATACATTCTGGTAGAACTCTGGAGATGTGTCTAGTAGAAAAGGTAAAACAGAAAGTCTTTGGTTTTCGGTTCAGTGGGCACAGTTAGTGGCATTTGGTGAAAGGAAAATACTATCCTGACAACAGAGGAGTAAATGAAAGTATATAGACTTGAATGTCAAAATTGCAAGCTCACGTCTACTTGGTTCCTAGAACACTGCCAACTTGTCTTAACTGTTTTCAAGTAGCAGATTGGAAGAATCATTTATGGGAAATCTGCCCAAGAGAAAAGATGTGAAGTGATAGAAGATTCTTAACTCCAGGAAAAGTAAAAGTTGTAAAAGAAAGAAATAGTCATCATAATATGTTGTTGTTATTGTCAAGTGTCATCAAGTCCGTTGAGAATCATAGCGACCTAGTATAGGGTTTCCGAGAAATGGCTGGTGAGTTTGAATCGCCGGTCTTGTGATTCAAATCTCTTGTCCTACATACCAGGACTCCAGTCACAATATACTGAATTATAAAGTGAAGACAGTAATAGAATTTACCACTTAAGAGTTATCATGAAGATTAAATAAATTAGTACATGTACAGAGGTAGCCTAGCACATAATAAGTTCTTTATAACTTTTTAGGTATTCTTCTTCTTACTTAACCATGAGTATCATTTACATAATTGTAATAATGCAAACATTAAATATTAATCCAACCAAAATGAGACTATGTAGTGGGAGGAGAAGGAGAGAATGGTGTGCGTCTGAGATGTCTTCAAAAAAAGTTCACGGAAAATGTGTACTATGAGAAAACTATTCATGGATTCAAACATTTTTACACCAACATAAATTCTAACTAATTTATTATAACATGTCTGAACAGAATCTAGTGTGAGGTGCTAAGGAAGGATAAGACATCAATTTGAAAAGAAGAGCCCTTAGCTGAGCAGCATGAATTCTGCTAAAATTGAAGCAAGAACAAACATCAAATTTATGGTTAAGATTAGATGGAAGAATGTTGAGACTGATGCTTTATGAAAATTTATGGGGATAGTGCCTCAAAGAAATCAGTGGTTTATAAATGGATAACTCGTTTTAAGAAGACACCAGACGATGTTGAAGATGAAACCCACAGTAGTAGACCATACTCATCAATTTTCAAGACAACAATCTTGTTGGTGTCCAGATTGAAGAGGATCCATAGTAAACAGAAGAAACAATAGCCAACACAGTACTTATCTCAATTGGTTCTGCTTCCATATTTGTGCCCATTCCAAGAGAGGTGACCCAACGGAATGCCGAAAGCATCGGACAATCTCTTTGATATCCCATGCAAATAAAGTTTTACTAAATGTAATACAGAAACGGCTACAGTCATACATTGACAGAGAACTTCCAGAGTTTCAAGCCAGATTCACAAGAGGCTGTGGAATGAGGGATATCATTGCTGATGTCTGATAGATCTTGGCTGAAAGCAGAGAATATCAGAAAGATGTTTATCTGCGCTTTATTGACTACGTAAAGACTTTTGATTGTATGGATCATGATAAACTATGGACAATATTGCGAAGTATGAGTATTCCAGAACACTTTAACTGTGTTCAGATGAATCTGTACCTGAACCAAGAGGCAGTTGTTCAAACAGAACATGGGAACACTGGAT